GACAAAGTCCCGAGCCTCTATAAATTGAAGAAAGATTGCAGAATGAAGATATCGGTGAAATCCTCACTTGTAAACTTCTTTAAAATCCTCTACTACTCCCACTCAACCACTCTCAACTACTCCCAACTAATCCTTGTACTCAAGCTCTTGTAGCAAAGATCCAAATATTATAATAAAGTCTTCAAGGAATTCATTCATCAAAGCTTCCGTGTGCAACTCAAAGTTTTATTGTAAGTCCAAATCTTTATGCTTATTACAAGTTTATATTTCATTTGTGAATGAGTTGGGGAATATTCTGATTGATTTTGATTTATAACTTCTGGTATAGGTGTTTTATATTTAAAATTTGAGGTACTTTCTATAGGAAAATTAACTTCAGTTGACTCATAATTTGAACGTCTAGCGGGTAACCATGAATATGATGATTCTGGTCTTTCTCTTAATGATGAAAATCTTATTAAAGTACTTCCATCTGCTTTTTCTATAATATCTTCTGCAGTAATCTGTTCTATATTTCTTGCTAGTTGTGGATTTTTAATTTCAAATTCACTTGGTATTGTTATTTCATTCCACTTTAGTTTTTTTGGAGTATATGTAGTAGGTTTATCTGCATCTACTTGTAATAAAGTTGTTTCTTCTTTAAGAGTTGGAGTCATTATAAATTTAGGATTTAAATGTGAAGATAAAGGTCTGTAATATATTCTATATATTATTGCAAAATTCTTTGTATGTTTTTCAAATTCATTTCCCTGCATATGAATATCTAGTATGACTGAATTCAAGATGTGTGGATCTGTTAAGTCTATAGAAAAATTTGGAGCGCAATTAAAATATATTGGTCCATTACAAACATTTGTTTGAATCATAGATAATAAAGAAGTTTTATATCGTTTGAGTCTAGTATCTCTTAATGCTAAATATATTGGAGCATCTACTCCTAAATGGAATAAAGGTTTTACTGCGATTTGTATCAAACCTATATGAATATATCGATATCCTTTACTTAGATATTTTTGAATTGTATTATGATTTAATAATTGAATAGATTGATATTCTTCATGAATAGAAATTATTTCTTCATGTGTTTTAACTGATAGAGCAGTTTTAAAATCTAAAGGGCCAATTCTATAAATGTGTTCTATTTTTTCTTCTGGAATAGTCCAATCTGAATTATTTACGGGCATATGATATTCATGACTTTGTACTACATTATCTTGTTTTGAATTAGATCCTATTTTTAATTGTCTAAAGAATGCAGTCATGTCTAATATTTAATTAAATTTTTACTTTAACCGGGAACAACCGAGCACTAGGCCTGGAACATCCTACCCTGGACTTACCAACGGTCTTACAAGGCATCAAGTCTTACCAACGATTTTAGTAAAAGTTTAATGAAATATATAAACATAAATGCATGAAATAGTCAATTTAAATAGAAACTTAATTCAATAAAGAAAATGTAAAAACAAAGTTTAAATATGCGTATGCGAATAAAAGGGTGTGGCTCTGATACCACTTCTACCCAGGCAATATAAACTTGTAATAATCATAAAGATTTGGACTTACAATAAAACTTTGAGTTGCACACGGAATCTTTGATGAATGAATTCCTTGAAGACTTTATTATAATATTTGGATCTTTGCTACAAGAGCTTGAATACAAGGATTAGTTGGGAGTAGTTGAGAGTGGTTGAGTGGGAGTAGTAGAGGATTTTAAAGAAGTTTACAAGTGAGGATTTCACCGATATCTTCATTCTGCAATCTTTCTTCAATTTATAGAGGCTCGGGACTTTGTCATTTGAATTTCATTTTTTCTTCATTTGAGTTTCATCTTCTTTTTGTTTGTGGCCGACATCTTTTTCAAAAGTGGTCGACATCTTTTTCAAAAGTCGTTTGGATCTTGTCCACATGGTCCTCCGAATGGATCAAAAGTAGATTCGGATGATTCTGCTGACTCGTCAATTTTGTCGATTTCTTCTTTCTTATCTGACTTTTGTAAGTAGTCCAGATATTCTTTGAGTAGCCTTGGATCTTGCATCATCTTTTTCATCAAAAAGTCATTTGAGGTTGCCTCGAATACCATCTCGGTATCTTTTTCTTTTTCTTTCTTTATTGGAGTAGTGGTTGGAGTTGGTGTCGTAGTGGTTGGAGTTGGTGAAGACTTTGTTGCAATGGATACAAAAGTTGTTGGAGTAGATGTTGGTTTGGTCCATTTGAGTTTATCTCCGGTAGTTAGAAATCTGATAACATTTACTTGATCTCCGAATTCTTGGTTGAATCCTGTCCACCATTTAACTTTGAATTCTCTAACTAATGACATTGGAAGTGATTTTTCAAGCTCTTGATGAATTTTGAAACTCCAGCAAAATATCCACGGGACTTTGAACTCCATATGGAATAAAATTGGTCTTGTATATTCTTCCCCCTTTGCTCTTTTTAGATACGTTTGAAATCCCATAAGCACATTTGGAGGTAGTATCTCTGGTTGTGGTCCAAACCATTTCCACCAGTGATTGAACCAAATTGGAAATTCTCTGCTGCAATTTTCTTTGAACGTGAAGAACCATGAATGATTGAATGGTCTAAAAAGGAAGGCACGATACCATGCCATTTTGTAATCTTGATATGTGAATCCATCTGAAATGAACCTTACTGAAAAGGATTTTTTAGAATAAAGAGAAGTCCATTCATTTGGAGAACAAACTTTCTTTATTATGCATTTTGAGTGGCTAATTATATTTGGATTTTTTCTGTCTGGAATTGGGAATATTTGTACAGATTGAGTATCTGTAAGAATTAATTCATAATAATCCAAATTTTTTGAGGGATCATCTGGTTGCCAAAAATATTTTTGAGGAAAGATTCTTTGGGTAATTTGATTGAGTGTAGAATACAAAGGTACTTCTTGGAATCTAGTTAAAGTGATATGTTGAGTAAATGGCTTGGTAAAATAAGTATTTTCAGTGGATTTTTCTGGGGTTTTTGGAATCTGTTGAAGAGGTTTTATTTGAGAAGAAGTTGGAGTACAAGCAGTTTGACTATAAGTCAACGCTGGAAAATCTGATAAGAGTTGGAATCTGTTTTGAGTAACAGGAGTAAGACTCATCTCATAATCTTGAGGAGTCTTTGGCCTGGAATTTCCTGCTTTTGAATCCATAATCCTGCAATATTAATAAACAATATCTTTAAGTTGGTCAGATAATTGCTTATTTTGTTTTCTGTGATATTGAATAAATTCCTCACTTCTCTCAATTCTTTTCATAACTTTGATTCGAATGGTATTTCTCTGAATCTCTCTTTGAATAAGAAAGGCTTTTTCTTGAGGAGTGATAGTAGCGTAAGGGCTTTTTCGAATGTATATGGTGTCATATTTAGGAATTTGATGAGCTGGAATACTTTGTCTGCCATAGTTGGTTTGGGCAAAATACTGATATCCTCTGGATTGGATATCTTTTTCTTTGTTTTGGAGTTTGGGAGAATCCCTTTGAGCTCTCAAATAATTGGTATATTCTCGTTCTTCTCTTTGAGCCATCATTTCACGATCCATGTCCTTGTAGAAATTTTCTAGTAAGAAAATCTGGTAAAGAATTATTTTCTCCTTTGATAAATTCTATTTTAAAATCAAAGACAGATAAAATAGCTTGCCATCTTGCAAATATTTGTTTAGAGACTATATTTTGAACATCCTTTTGTAAAATCTCTTTGGCAGATTTACAATCTATTCTAATTAAAAACTTTTTATTATATAAATCATCTTGAAATTTTGATATGCATAAAACTATGGATAAAATTTCTTTTTAAATTGTTGAATAATTCTTCTGAGGGTTAGACCAGGTTCCTGAATGAAACCTAACTAATTCTTCTTTAGAATTATCTATTTTTTGTTTTAATATTCCTCCATATCCTAATTCTGATGCATCTGTTTCTACTATCATAAATGCTTTAGGATGAGGTAAACATAAACATGGTAATGATTCTATTTTCTCTTTTAAATATTTTATTTTTTGAGTATGTTCATCTGTCCAAGGTTTTGGATTTTTCTTTAGTCTATTGAATAATATAGAACATTCTTTTCTTAAATTAGGGAAAAAATCTGTTATATAATTTAGGCATACACCGCATCATTGATAGTACGTATCCTGATCTATTGGCTAATTATAATAATGCTTCATATCTTCGCAATAGAGCTATTCTTGCCCCGACCAATGATGTTGTTGATGAAGTAAATTCTGTTATTCTATCATCCATTCTTGGCCAATCTAGGATATACTTAAGTGCTGATAGAATCTGTCCCACCTCTGATTGCGGACTTGAGCAAGCTTCTTTATACCCGGTTGAGTTTTTGAATACACTTAAATTCTCTGGAATTCCAAATCATTCAATTGAGTCAAAGGTTGGAATTCCAATTATTTTGCTACGCAATATGAATCAGAGTCAGGGTCTGTGCAATGGTACACGGTTGATAATTACAAATTTGGGAGATAACATCATAGAAGCTGAAATGATTACAGGGTCAAGTATAGGGACAAGATTTTTCATTCACAGGATTGACATGACTCCTACGGATTCAAAATGGCCTTTTGTGATGATTCGACGTCAGTTTCCTATTAAGGTTTGTTTTGCTATGATAATAAATAAGAGTCAAGGCCAAACTTTTGATAACGTTGGAGTGTACTTGACAAAACCTGTATTTAGTCACGGCCAATTATACGTTGCTGCTTCTCGAGTAACCTCCCGTCAAGGATTGAAGTTTTTGATCAAGGATGATCGAAATCCGGAAAATCGTCGTACAAGAAATATTGTTTATCGAGACATATATGATAATTTACGCATTGGTATAGGTTAAATTCTAAAGCTTGATTTATAATTCATGCGTATGCAATTTTGTTTGTTTTTATTTATGCGCTTATTAATCATATATTGAAGTATTTAGTTTAGATACCTATATGCAATTATTTTATAAGTTGGTGAATTTTGGTAGCAGACACAAGTTCGTTACAATGAATTCAAGCCACAAGCTCTTGAATCAGTTGACTGTGGGATTTGATTCGAAGAAAATCAAGGTTAGAGTGACGCGCATGTGGGATGCCATTAACACAAATACTGGTGATGTGTTTGCTCTTGAAATGGTACTACTCGATGAAAATGTAAGTACCATCATTCATCCACCTATGACTGATTTGAGTTAAATTTGTTTATTTCATGACAATTTTTTCGTAATCTGTGATGTTTGAATTGTTTTAGGATAATCATATGGTGGCTATTGTACCAAAAAATTTGGTACAAAGGTTTCGACCACAACTACTTGAGGGGGATGTCTATATTTTGGAGAAATTTAGAGTGACACCAAGAAAACAATCTTGGAATGTTGTGCACAATGAGCATAATATTTATTTCACTTATACAACTCTGGTGAAAAAGCTTGGTGGTCGAATGAGTTCAATAAAATTTCACAAATTTGAATTCATCGATTTCAATGACCTCTCTTCACGATGTCAAGTTTTTACATTCTTATCAGGTATGACGTAATAAGTTAATAGGGTAAATACTACTTTTATAAATACTACTTTTAGTTTTATTCATTTGAAAGTAGTGATTCCTAAATAATTATATGTGTTATACTTATTTATTTATGTGTAATATAGATGTGGTGGGAAGACTTTCTAAAGTGGGACCGATCTATGAAGTTTCGAAGAGTAATGGAACTGTAAAAAAACGAGATATTGCAATTACCAATAAAAGGTATTTGCTGCTTTTTTTTTTAATTTAGTCTGCTAAATAAATTAGTTATAATATGAAGATTAGCTCATATTCTTATTTGAACAATTATTTTTGAGTAATTTCTATTCAAGTATTAATTTTGAGTGCTTTATATTGAAGTGGTGAAAGCATTAATGTCACATTATGGGGAACAACATCGAATCAGTTCAATGATGAGACTATTTTGGTGTCTGATCAACCATTAGTGTTGGTGATCTCTTCAGTGACAGTTAAACAATTCAGAGGTAATGATATAAACATCAGTGAAACTCTCATAGTAAACATATTGTTATTTCTTTTCATTAACATTCTTAATGGAGCTCAAGATTTGATGCTTACTCAGGTTCATACTATCTGTCATCAACAACTGCCACACGAGTATATATGAATCTAAATATTTCTGAAGTTGCAGATTATTTGAATTGGTAAAGCTATATATCTTTATTAAATGTTTATTTAATATTTTCATATATATTGTATATAAGTAATTAAGATAAAATTGTTATTAGCATTGATAGCACTGCTCCTCAAACTATTGAGGTTTTACATCCTCCAAAAACGCGAGAAGCTATACAGCAACTAATGTTCAAGAATCGAAAATTTTTATCAGAGATATATCAGATAATGGCCGGTGTTCAAACAGAGGTACAATTAAAGTTACAAGTTACAATTATAGCACATTAGTTTTCACAATTAAAAATATTAATTATTTAAATTGACTGCTTAAATTGGTCATTTCTCTAGGAATTGGTTTACACTTCCAAAGTGACAATTCTGAAAGTTGATTTCAATAGTCAACTGCACTACAAAGCATGTCCAAAATTTCAGAGAAAAGTGACATTAGAAGGATCTAATTTTGTGTGCAATGCTTGCAATCAAAATGTGGAGTATCCTAAATTGAGGTATGTTGTAGGTGTTAACATTTTTTATCATTTTAATTGCTACAATATCTACATAAATATAACTTTTAGAATATGTGTTTTTATACAGGTATATGTTAAAAGTCTTGGTAAGTGATGCAACCGGTAGTGCTTGGTTTGTTATATTTGATCAAGAGGCTGAAAGAATAATAGAACACAAACTTTCTTTTGTTCTTGAAGAATTTAACAAGGTAAACTTATATCTAATTTTTGAGAAGTTTTTAATAATAGTAGACAATCCGACACTTATCTTAGCCGTTGAATAGTATAACAAAAAAAAATCTATTATGCATTTCATTTTTAGGAAGGATTTAGCAATGAAATCGTGTCATCAATTATAAATAAGATCACATGGAAACCTTTTGTGTTCCAAATCAAGTTGAACAATTACAATTTGGAACAAGGTAGTAATAGATTTACAGTGACTAGATGGTTCCACTGTGATTTCGAGAGGGAAACAAATTTCATGCTTTCACAGGTAATGTGCAATAAATTTATCTTATATTTCACATATTATATCTCACATAATATTTTGCCTTTAATTTTGATAAATCATTATCAGATTGGTGGAACCAACAACCAATACCAACCTGAAGTATTTTCTTCCCAGATCCCAATTAGTACACCAGATGATTCTAATCAAGAGCATTTCAATACACTTCATATGAATAATTCATCAGAGGGTTCAACAAAAATCACAGAAGAAGGGAATCCTCATAAAAAGATTTGCATGAGAAGGTAGATTTAATATACTATTTTACTTTCTTAAATTATAATCTTTACGTATTATTATACATAACTTTGAATGCGATAAATCATTTATTTTTTTATACTTAGTTATCCTGTTTTCCTATCATGCAGTGATAATGAAAAATCAATAAATGCTGATTTGCACGAACAAATCGAGGAGAATGTTCAAACAGAAGAAAAATCAAAACAAGTTCCTGAAAAATAGAATATTATTTAATACTTTTTAATGCACTTTTTTATTTATTTTCAAGTTTTTGAATGTTATGGTATTGTTGAATGTTATTTTTTTCATTTTTGAATCATTACTCACTGAATTAGATGTTCAAATTTATATTATAAAAATATTTTATATTACAATGCGCACATAGTAATATACTTAAGACAAGTTATAATAGATTATACATTAAATTTGTATTTTATATCGACATTTTTATAAAATTAACTAAATTTATTTTTCGACGATTCACGTTCAACGAACGGGTACAAAACTAGTTTATTAGTAATTTGATGGGGTCAAACTTATATTTGATTTAGTTCTTCTTCCGATTTTAAATGTGGGACATCTCATTCAATCCTTCCCCTTAGAAATTTTATGTACTTGCAAAATTTGGTCATAACTATCCACTTAGTCGTACGCAGATTTTAGAGAATCCCACACAGAGATCAAACGAGATTTGTTTTGATACCTCCAAGTCTACTAGATTGGTCCAATAACTTTTTAAATTGAAACTATGTGTTAATTTAAAATTATTAATAATTCATTGGACCGAAACTTATATTTCATTTCTTTCTTCTTCCGATATCCGATGTGGATTATCTCAGTAGACATTCACTTGCATGAACACAAAAAACACGTTCCGGATAAGATTTTGGGATAAGATGGCTGAATGAAAGGGTCGTTGGTGGTAATAGCTTCACTCGATGATTGGGGGTAGGTGGCAATAATTTCGGTGGCAATAATATCAGTTGCATGACCCCAAAGAACACAATTCCGAATGAGATATGGGATGAAAGGCTGGTGGTTCATAAACTTTGCGATGTACTCCTAGATAACATCGTACCTGATTTGTCTTGTCATCTTTAATAACTTTAAGGATAAAATACACTTTACTCCCATGTGATTTAATAATTTTTCTAAAGTTTTAAAAGTTATATTTAATCCTTTATAGTTTGAACTAATTGTCAAATTGACTGAAATAATCATTTGTAACGAAATCTAATAAAATATAGAAAATACTCTTGTTTAAAAACTAAAATAGTTGAAATAACTAAAATATATAAACGTAATATGTATGACATTTTAACCCTCAATAGTTTTATATTTTACCACATAACTCCCTTATAATTTAGTACTTACCATATAATCTCGTTATGATTTTCAAAACATAACCCCCTATTGGTAATTAATAATTTCAAGTTTACAAAGGAGTGTTTTTGACATTTCAGTTGACTCCATTATAAAATACAAATTCTGTTATTTTGATACTTTAATTCAAATTATAAAAGGGTTATATAGCTTTACAAACCTCAAGGAGTTTATGTGGAAAAGTACTAAACCACAGGAATAAAGTATATTTTACCCTAAATTGAATTATATGGTCATATAACCTGAAACATTAGGACTATTTATTCTACGGTATTGTCAATATAAACGAAGCCAATGAGTCTTTTGGCCAAACATGCTTCCTCCTTGAGATAAATTAGGGATGCATATTTTATGTCATTCTCTCCACTATATAGTTTTGAGCTTTGAAATTTCTCCAATTGATGGGTGGGTTTCAAATCCAAATCCACTCAAATCCCTCATCCAAACAAATCCTAAGAAAATCTTTCCTACTTCACCCATCGTTTTGTTATGGCATTTTTGCAGGTCAAATGATTGTACAAATATGGTCATACCTCAGGGAGGTAAATATAATTAACCCTTAATTTTAATATCCATTGATGAACGAAAAATAGTTTCATAAAAAAGACTAAACTTATTAAAGCAGGCAAATGGTCATTGTGGTTAATTTTATAACTTGGCAATCAGCTGAAGATCCGGTTACCAGATTGTCAATCTATTCGGCTCTATTTGTTAGATGGGAAAGTCATACAAGAAAATGTGTCGTTCTATAAGCGAAGTGAGATAATTGTACTCTCCAAGGGCCGCGTTCCGCATACCGTCTGTTTAGAAATTCAAGTAGCTTTCATCACATTGGATGATGACAAACTGGATTGTTTTCATATTTGTGCATGTATATTTAAAGTAGTATTAAAAAACCTGTTGACATTTTTTTTGTTTTATGATATGCTAATTTAGAAAGCTTGAAGAGGACACCACACCAGATTTAGCTATTAATCCCTGTAGCTTTGGTTTTTGTACACTGACTCAAATTTTGAGACTTAAAAAACGAACAAAAATAGAAAAATTAAGGTAAGACATTAAGATTGTGTTAGAGGAAATACTAAAAGAGTAAATTTTATATACACGGACAGAGTATACTAGTTGATGTTTATTTTATTTTATTTTATGCTAATTTAGAAGGATAGGAAGGGACACCACACCAGCTTTAGCAAATAATCCCTATAGCAGGTCCAGTAGTATTTTGGACTCCAAATGCACCGCGCCAAAACCCCTACTTTGCCTGATCTAGCAAGCAGTGATTTTAATGGTAGTGACTCTGCGGTAATGGAAGACCAAAAAGTCTTCAATTACCACTCCAGAGAAAATTGGGCACTTTTGTCTTGATTATTCACCAAGCCACAAAATCAAAGAAAAGGTATTCGTAACTTTCTCTACACAACTCTCTCTCTCTCTCTCTCGACAGTTTTCTCAGACCCATCCTCACCGCCCTGCACTTGTAGGCTCTACTCCAACATAGGTTAATTATACTGGAGCCAAGCTAGAGATGGTTGAGTTTTCTTGTTCTCCTTCTTGTTTTTCTTTTTCCTTCTGATTTCGCTGGTTATTGACTGGATTCTATATGAGATGGTTGAGGGTTTCGGGGTTTTTGGTTGATTTTCTGTCGTTCTGGTGGGATGCTGGGGATTCATGGTGAATTGGAATTTTTGAGTAGCAATTGGCGGTGGGTTTTCCGATTTATACAAACTTGAACAAAACTTAGTTTGTTGAATTTCAATTGACATTATGCTCATTTTGATGGAGACGATTTGTAGTATTTGAGATAAATTTGTGATGTTTTGGGGACTAGTATGGGTTCTAATGTCATAGGCTGTGGTTGCTGGCAGGTGCTTGGTGATGGTTTGGCTCCAGGGATCAGCCTATCCCATTCCGAAGCAAGAAAAAAAATTGAAGAAAAAATGGAAATCCATTACAGTAATAAAAAGAAGGGTAAAAGACATTTTACTCTCCTGTGATTTAGCGATTTTTCATATAACTCACCTATAATTTCAAAAGTTATATATATAACTCCCTTATAATTTGAACTAAAGTGTCAAACTAACCCATGAAAATATCGAAATTATTCTTATTTAAAAATTAAAATAGTTGAAATGATCAAAATAGATAAACATAATATACATGACATTTTAATCTCATATAGTTTTATGTTTTAACATATGACCCCTTATGTTTTACATATGACCCTACACCAGCTGACAAAATAGTTGCTGATATCAACAAACCAGTACAAATGACTGCTTGCAGGATTAGACTCTCTAGCATGTAGTAGCAGTAGTCATGGTTTTCATTTTCTTTACATGATTAATGAATTATATAGTGTTGTTACACTTGTGATGTGCATGTATATGGAGACTTCTGACTCTCCTTTGTAAAGCTTTCCTGCATATCAAAAAAGACCAAACATTTGCCTTAAAAAAATGATTCTAGAATATTAAATATTTGTTTGTGCAGTAAACATGCTTATATACAATGTTTTAGATTTCATAGACACTGATATGAAGAACTTAATTTCAAGTGCAAAATGTTATTTTAACTTGCAGATTTCCTGTCTGAAGTTGAAGCCGAGGAGTCAATTAAAAAGTACACCAAGCCCTCTAGAAAACTCCTTCAGGACGAAATGCTTATTAAAATATTTGGGATTAAGGATGGCCATGGAGAAAATTCATGTACCCATACCCATGAACGCTGTTTTGAGAACATTTGTTGTTCTGGTTGCGTGTGTGGGAGATATAGTTTACGGAACACAGATCCAGTGCAATTGCTGGATTTCTTGTCCAGCAAAGTCCTCCGGCTGTTGAAGCTGCTTGTCAAACCTGATGTTGTCATGATCTATATTTTGTGTTGTGTAAATCTCTTATTGTGGATACAACATTTCTCGGCTAATTACTCAGAATATAGATCAAAAAAAGATTAATTGCACATGTATGGCTCTGACAGGATTTTGGTACGAATCTATAGGTGCCGGGCTGACACAGCCCGGAACCCAAAAGCGAGTCAAATTTTTTTTTGGCTCTGACATGCTGCCTCAGCCTGGCAGCGAATTTTTTTTTTTAAAAGTTGTAGGCTATCGGGCTGACAAGGCCGCCGATAATATCTGAAAAGCTGGCTGCCGGGCTGAGAGAGAGCCCGGCAGCCAGTCAAATTTTTTTTTAAAAAAAAAGCTCCAAAGCAATGCAGCAGCTAGCTTGTCAGATATCCACTTTGAAAATAATAATTTTGTTGATTAGTAAACCAAATTTAGATTAAGTTAGCTCTGACTAGCTAGTGGGTGATGAAGGAAAAGTTAAGCGATATGAGTCGGGAGATATAAAAACATGAACAATCTAAACTGTAACATGATGATCTTCAGGCTTGTTAAAAAAAAAACATTTTTTTCTTCCAAAAGTAACTTGCTACAGCTTCTAACCTCGTTAGCCCTTAAATATTACTGTGGTTGCTTCTTTAATTAGCCAGTATATAAGTAGATAGCGAGGTACTGTACACTACAAGAAAATTGCGTTTCTGTGACAGGCGAAAGTCGTCACAAAAAAAGTCAGTGACGACTTTTACTGCTGTCACAGAGCTGTCACTAGTTCTATGTCACAAAAGGGGGTCCATGTGACGACTGTTGAAAGTCGTCACAAACGATTTCGCTTTTGTGATGACTCTTGTCGTCACTCATTGTTGTACATTGTGTGACAACTTTTATTGTCACTAACCTGGCTAAATTCTTGTCATAGTCAACCCTTGGAGTTGTCACATTATGCTTCCGTTCAGTGACGACTTTTGTTGTCATTGTTTTCCATCCATAAAAAGTGACGACTTTCTGGTGTCACTAGTGAAACTTGTTGGTAGTGACAACTTTTTTATTGTCATTTATTTTTTTGTAAAAAGCAATAATCTAATGTTAATTACGCAACATAGCTGCCAACAATCACAAAACGTTCATTGAGTAGCAAGGAGAAAAAAAAAGCCAACATACGAAAAGAAAGCCAACATTCATTTCCAATAGAAGATCAACCCAAATACATATATATATAAATGTTGCCTCAAATGAGTCATAAACCATGCACCATCCAAAATAAGCCATTCAGTTACAATACTAGTGATTTCCCATCCACAATAGAGAGTAGTAAAGTTCTATACAAAAATATGAGCACGATTCCCATCTAGAACAAAACATGAGCACGATAGGCCTTGTAGTCTTCAATTCAAAAACCATCTTCACAGCAATGACTGGCTTCTTCTTCTTGGGAATCGTGTTAGAACCTACACGTTACCAAAATTGAAGCAATGAGCACTGGTGTTAAAACTGGAACTACACTTCTAGATAGGCACCATATTATAAAAACTAATGTCACTCTAATTTGAAATTATAGCAATCTAAGTAAATTGATTAACACAAAAATAAAGTGAAATTATAGCAAATAAGACATTGAATGTATATTCTGTGAAATATAGAATAACAATACAAACACAATAAATATCTGCATGTTCACAAATATATATGCAATAACAATAACAATAACAACAATGAAATCCCAAAATCATTGAGAGCCTAGATGATCGTGAACCACACAGTATATCAAGAAAAAAAAAAACACACACACACACACAATCACAGGTGCCTCTTTTTCCTTAGCACAAAAAAAAAATTCTGATACAGAAAAATTTAGATGAGTTCGACAAAGAAAAAAGTGGAATACATCCCAACGTTCAAACACATTTGCTTTAAAAACACTAAAGTTTTGGTTGCAACATCCAGCACCTCAATGGCTGTAATTAAACATGAACAAGATTTCAAGCACCTAAATCAGCCTCAAGCACCTCAATTGCATTAAACAGGAATCAGATTTGGTGGAATCAGATTTGGTGGAACCAGATTTCAAGTGCCATCAAGCAACTAAATTGACATCAAGCAACCCAATTGTATTAAAAATGAATCTCTATTTTGTAGAACCAGAATTCAAGTGCCTCAATTGTAATAACTATGAAGAGCAAACAATTTATTTATACCACAAAAGAAATTAGACATCCAGGCAAATGATGAAATACATTCCTAAGCACAATATGCCAAAGTAAAGACCATATTCATATGGCTAGTGGACATGTTGCGTCTCAAGGGAAGGGAGAAGTATTATCACCAAAATTGGGGTAACAAAGATGCATTTGCTTTCAGATGGCAATAATACAAAGGATAATGCAATTAGGAAGAAAATGACCTGGGGACTATTATCAAAGAATATATGCATCAAACACAGGTCATCATAACAGCCCGAGATCAGAGCATCAAAGATATAAAGGAATGTGGAAACACATATTAAATACAAATATAAATTGAAAACATGCCTTCTTCTCTTTATTGCATTTGACAAAGTTTCCATGATGTTAAACATGGTGATAGGGTGTTAATTGTTAGTAATTTTATTGTTAATTTCCCCTTTTATTCTTGCCAAATATTGTTTTAATTATTAATATTTACTTATATTTGGTATTGGGGTTTAATTTCAGGAACAAAGCAGAAAATTACCAAAAAGGAGGGACTTTTATGGGAAAATGGAGACTTCTAAGGACCTTGGACTCTTGAATTGGTGGGGACCACAAACTAGTGCAAGGCATTTAGTCATTTGGGCTTTTCAAAGAAAGCAACGTAGAGAGATTTGGAACAACAAGTACTTTGGAGGTTTTGTCCACATGTGCGGGGACCACGGATAAGAAGCATGAGTCATTTGGACTCTAGGAAAAGAAACGTACAAGACTTTGAATTTGATGTGGGGACCACTAGATAGCATGAGTCATTTGCCTTTGGCTTTAAAAAGAAGACAAAACCTACGGGAGGTTATCAATCAATAGTTCTTAGTTTAGTTTTAGTTTCTTTTCTTTCTTTCCTTAGACTGGCCTCTGACACACGCCAGGTGTTCGACAATATTCCCCAACGGGGAGATTTTCTCATGAGGCGTGGTTAAGCTTTTCTAGTCAAGGGGACAACTGACGATTTGGTTCGACAATTACTGTGAGATCGAATCTGTTTTAATTATTTTCTTCATTTATTGGTATTTATATGTTCATTGATTTTAATTGCTATGGCCTTGTGTATGATTGATTAGTGCGCAATAATTAATTATTCATATAGGCTATTTTTGCTAAATAGGGGTAATTGAATCCGTAATTGTTCGTTATCTCTACCTCAGTAGCAACTGGCGTAATTGGGTTTATGTCAGGGGAGCATATGATCTAATTTAAACAAACCCTCGTAGCGTGTTTGTTGGTTAGAATTGGGCCTTTCTAATTATTAATGCAATCTAGAAATTAAATCCTACGGTCGTACCTAAGGTTATTTTTGGGTTAGAGAAATAGCTAACGGTCGTATCTTAGCTATCGAGAAATTAAGGAAGGGTTGGTTGTTTATCGCGTGCATGACAATTATAACTAATCTATTGCTAAATGTTGGAATTATTTCTGCATCAATGATCAGTGCATGAACCATTTCTGATGTGTACCCTTGGCTAGAGTTTTCCCTTAATTATTTCTCTTAATCAATTATTTTCTGCAGTTAATTTATTTAGTTAGCATCTAATCCAAAATCCCCCATACTTTGGACTCTAGAAGAAACGAATTATCCCCAGTCCCTGTGGATTTGACCCTACTTACCGCTATATACAAAATCTATATTATTCTCGAGTAGGTATTTATTATTGCACAGGTTCGGCACCTGTCAATTTTTGGCGCCGCTGCCGGGGACTGGTGTCAGATTAATTTGTTTCTCTTTGAGTTCACCTTGTTTTCATTTTTAATTTAGTTTTCTCTTATTTTTTAATGGCTTCTAACACTCCGTATTTTGGTGATATACTGGATTTTATTTTCGGGGAAGGCAATGAGACTAGTTTTTTTGTGAGGTCTGCATATGCAGAGGCACTAAACTCTGTTAGAGAAAGAATGGCTGCTGCAACTTGTGAAATTTGTTATGCCAGGGATCATTCAACCGGTATGTGCCCCGAATATCAAAACTACCTGAGTGACTATCTCAAAAGAAAATTTGGAGATTCTTCACCTCGATCTCAAACGTGGTATGACCCTTATTCAAACCGGTATGATCAAGGATGGTGGGATAACTCCAACGTTAATTATGAAGAGGGGCCAATGAGTTTTCAGCTGCAAGAGTCTCAACAATCGTCATTCATGTCAGACTTGCCCTCACAGACCATCAATGACTCTAAGAAAGGTGAGAGTACAATTATCCTGACAAGTGATATGGAACTGCAAGAGTCTCAAGAAGGAGGATCCAAAGATACAGTTGAAAAGGAAGTTGAAGCGGAACACATGAGACTCCAACATCAAATTATTCAAGTGAATGAATCCAGTGAACAATTTCCAAATGCGGTGACATCTTCTCCACTCCTTAATCAATATTTTCCTAATTCCTCTTCTTCAATTCCTGTTACTGAAATTGATTTTATTATACCAGAAAATTTGAAATTTCATGACAGGAATAAGTTAAGAGTGGCAATGGAAAAATATCTTGAACCGATGAATGCGTGTGGTGAAGGAGAGAGTGGAGAATGCAGATCATTGTTGACTTGTTTAGCGCCATTTACTAGTCCATGGAAGCCCGTAGCTCGTGTGTTCAAAAATTACTCCATCTATGAGGGTTATCAGGATCACATTGAAGATGAAGCATTGAAACGAGCCACAAGATTTTATCCCCCATGAGCAAAATATGATAATGTCTAGCCAAAGACATTAAAGAAAGGCGCTCATTGGGAGGCAATCCAATTGTTTCTTTTAATTGTTTGTTTTGATTTCGTGTGATAGTTTAAATATGTTTTCCTTGAATTTGACTGATTTTGGGGTTTAATTTTCGTTTTTGCTGATTTATAGGTGCCCTTCAGTCATGACGCGCCCGCCTGATGACGTGCAGGAAGCTCACGATCAGGAATTTC